TAAATTCAAGAAAGTAGTTAAGAACAGGGTCCATTTTACCCTGAAGTTCAGGCTGAGAACTTGCAGTATTTTGACTATTATTTCTCTTGGGGCATGATGCAAAGAAAATAACTGGAGGTGATTGTAAATGAGAAATAGCAAGCCCTCTCTGAATTACTAAAGTGCCAGAAGTTCTGAGTTTTAATTATCAAAAAGTGAGCATATCTCCAAGCCTTGATTCTCTAGCAAGTTTTGACAAGCTTAAAGAAGCTTTCCCTGGAAATTCCCCAGGCCAAGGACAGCTGCAACTTGCATGAATATGGGCCAAGTTGAGACAACTCAAACACATACACACACACCCAAAACACACAGCTGCTGGGAAAGGAGTAAAAGAAGTAGAATTGGGGTTGAAAGAAGTGCATGGAAACCTATAGGCGCACAACTCATTCATTCAGAGCTACATCTTCCTTTTTTTAGTTTATTTATAAAAATCCCTACTTTCCTGCCTCAGAGAAAGAAGCATAATGCAGAAGGAGAAGCTATAGAAATAAGAGAGACTCTCCTTTGTGACTTTTCAAAATTAGCAATAGTTGAGGAAGCAGAGGTGCAAAATATTAAATCTGATCATAGTAGTAAATGCTTCCAAGATCATTAATCTGGTCAGACAGAGATCTGTACTAAACCAATGGGGACAGAACAAAGGGACAAAATAGGTAATTAAATTGTTAATCCCACTAGGGGATTGTAAGTAGAAAGATATGGGTGGTGGTGGTGGTTTAGTCGCTAAGTCGTGTCTGACTCTGGCGACCCCATGGACAGTAGCCTTCCAGGTTCCTCTATCCATGGGATTCTCCAGGCAAGAATACTGGAGTGAACAATATGGGAGACCCCCTAAGTTAATGATTACTCAAGAAAGTAGGTTTGCTTAGCCACAAAACCAAGCAGGCTTTGCTTAGAAACAAAACCATACAACAGAAGCATGGAACATGCCCCCAAACAATAAAACAATGGTGGCATGAGACCCACACTCTGCCCAGTGAGCTCATGAAGTTAATGATCCTTAAGACATATTCGCTACACATAGAAAACAGTAATTTGTAGATCTAGCTTGACAATGTATGGACAAGAAAACTTCCCTGCTCAACCTGAAGGAGGAACTAATGAAGGAAACATGACGTCTACTCAAGAAAGACAAAGAAGGTCTTCTCCCCCTCCCTACTCTTCCTTTGATTATAAAATTGTAGCCCACCAAGTTCTTGGGGTGTGGCATTTCTCACCCACCAGCTTGTAAGCCTCATAAGCGTCCTATTCTAATAAGTCACTTCTTATCTACCACTTCACTCTTGCTGAATTCTACTCTATACTGAGACATAAAGGAATATGGTATCATAACTCTTCAGAGTGCCCCCCCAAAATGATACCAATCATGTCAAACAAGATAGGTGTTATATCCCAGGGGCTAAATCTCAAGGTTACAGCCTTTTAGACTTATCAAATGTTCTGGTCAAATAAACAATGCTCTTGGAAGCCTTGTATAAAGGAAACACTCCATCTACTCTTCCCAATACTATGAAACAAATCAGCTAACGATTCATACTCAATGCAAGACAGCACCTCAAAGCTCACCCCTGCATCAGCCATGAGACTGTCATTATTTGCTACTGGTCCTAGTCCTACAATAGTCATGATTCTCCTGAGTGGTTTTAAAATTTTCAAAGACAATAAGTTGTAGAACTGTAGGTCCTTCTCACTTTTTTTTTTACTAGAAAAATTAGTAATCAAGAACGTGAGCTCAGAAGCCAAACTGCCTGAGTGTGAGTCCCAGTTCTGCCATGCCCTGGCCTTTGGAATTTAGGTAAATTAATCCAATTTCCTATGCCTTAGTTTCCTAGGGGAGCAAAATTCACCACCCCAAATGACAATTAATTTATGCTATTTAATTTTAAGAAACCAAAGACACAGGAAGTCTTTCTTTTTACCTAACACTTAGCTGTCTAAAATGTTTAGATAAAGGACCTCCTACCAGAATAGAGCTACTACCAGAGATAGCTGCAAAGAATATGAGAGCTAGGCATGATGGGTGAAACCCAGCAGAGCTTAAGGATCAAGCCTGCTGTCTGCCCCATTGTCGCTGCATGACCCAGTAAGCATGTGTTTACCAAACATTTGCTTTTCCTTTCCATTTCAACTGCCTTCTTCCTCTTTTTGAAGTCCCAAGCCAGTACCCCTGATACATTCTTTTGCCTTTAGCTGAAGATGGTATTTAAGATGAGGGGTTTCTGCCATTTTAGGAAGTTAGTTTTCTTGGGTCCCTTTCACAAGTATAAAAGTTATAAAATTTTTGCTTGGTTTTCTTTGGTTTATCTGTCTCAGGGTCCCCCACTAGAAGAAAAATAATAGTTAACTTTTATTGAATATTAAGTAAGGGCCAAACACTATGCTACAAGATTTACATGATTATTTACTTTTCACAGCAACTCTTGGATATAAGTACTCTTTTTATTCCCATTTCATAATTAGAAGATAGAGAGATTGTGAAAAGCTAAGTAATGTCAACCACAAACTGGCACTTACCATCCACTTCTACAAGGATTAAATCATGTGCTGCTGCAGGTGCTGATTTTCAACACCCTCTGAAAGGAGTTCAGAGTGGAGATAGAAATGAGGCACTCTCTGCTGGCAGCACAGGTCTTCAGATAGTTAAGACATTTTCAAGAACTGATTTTATGAGCCTAATTCTTGTATCTCCTCATACCTAGAAAAGAACTAAAGTCCTTCATGGTGATGACTGTTCCTTGTGACTAGCAGAAATCTTCTGGAAAAAATATGTACTTGATTGCATGTATTCCCCCTTCACGAAAATGACATACATGCTGACCTTCCACCTGCCTCTTCGGAGCAGTTTCTCAGAGCTATCTGAGGAGCTGTCTCCTGGGCTGCAGTCTTCATTTTTACCTCAAATAAAATTTAACTCACAGCTCTCACATTGTGTACTTTTTGGAATCAACAGTAACTTGCCCTAATTCAACTAGCAAGTAATCACACAGGGACTTAAGGTCAGATCAGTCTGAATACAATTCAATCCATTCTCTTATTTACTAGCTAGATGGATCTTAAATCCCCAAACTTTATTCAACAGATAATGAGATGCAATTGACAAAGTTTTAAATCAGGGGTAAGATAGCACTTCCAGTTTTGCCCTGGTCCTCCCACCCTGGCCTCTTAGCAGCAGGTGAGTAGGTGTTGGCTGGCAGTGATTTACATTACTACACCCCACATTATTCAGACACAGGTAAAAAAAAAAATCAAGCTAGCTGCTTGGCTCACAAAAGACAGCCACATTTCTAACCTGCCAGAGCAGTCTCCCATCCCAAGGTCTGACTGAACTGGAAGGAGACCTAGGATTCACACCGGTGAGTCTCCTCCTGCCCAGGGGCCCGTGATGGGGTTAGCTTTCCCTTTGCCCATGGGGAGGATGGGAGCACAGCTGACTAAGAAAGGTCTGCAGTGTGTGTGAAAGTCTTCTTGTTCCTGGTCTTTGCTTGCCTTCTTGATTTGACTCTGTCTCTGTCGATCTCTCTGTCTTTCTCTTGTATATACGTATGTGTGGGTCTCTTTCCTCATCATTCTCTATTGCTCTATTATGATTGCTCTCTGACTTGCTCGTGTCACTCTCTCTGTCTTTGTCTTCTTCGACTTACAGTTTGTTAAGGTCCTGCTTTAAACACATTTCAGAGTTCTTTGCTCAAATCTAGGAACCCTGGGGAAGAGTCCTCATTGAAGACTCCAGGTCTGAGCTATCTCTGAAAATGTGAGCAGAGGACACACCAAGACCAAAGTACATGTACAAAGACTGTGCAAGCACTCTTCTGCCTTTAAATTCATTGAAGCCTGGGTCCATTTTATGGCTATCATTGTCAATGGAACTGAACAATACGGGCTTCTGCTCCCATTATGTTCTACTATGTCCTCTACCGGGTCTATTTTTGTCTTAAAATACACAGGTAAATCAGATGTGTGCCCATGTCTTCCACCAGACACTGAGCACTTGAGGAATGGGATTTTATCTTATTAGTGAAAGAAAGTGAAGTCACTTAGCCGTGTCCAGCTCTTTGCGACCCCATGGACTATAACTCAGGCTCCTCTGACCATGGGATTCTCTAGGCAAGAATACTGGAGTGGGTTGCCATTTCCTTCTCCAGAGGATCTTCCCAACCCAGAGATCAAACTCAGGTCTCCTACATTGCAGGCAGATGCTTTACCATCTGAGCCACCAGGGAAGCCCCTTTATCTTATTAGTCTTGCTTAAAAATAGCTTTTTATCTAAGTAAAATGAATGAATTGAATAAATAAATGACAATAATTGCTGTATTCTCTGGGCTCCTATACCACACTATAAAATAATTGCATTCAAGCTTAATCACATTCATGCCATGGTTATATGTGTCATTTTTCATAAATCTCTTGAGGACAGGAAAGATATCCCACTTCTCCTTTATTCCCCATTATCTGCCACAGCTCCACAGAATATATTGAATAAATACTTATTTTTAAATGAAATAGTGAATATTTCTCCTGGCAGGGCCCACCCAGTGTTCCTTAGATCCTGGGAAACTAGGGTGGTGGTGGGGGATATAGGCTAGAGAAGAATCTAGTAGTCACCCATATGTGTGTAAATATTTAATCATTGATAAGGTTACCCCACAGCCTAACAGTTGTATATCAGCCCTGTATAAATAGGGCCTGCTAATCCTTTCTCTGAGGATATTTTCCCTGACTGATTCCATCTATTTTTTATTAATTTGACTGTTATCTATGCTGATGATTCCTTAATCTAAATCTTCAGCCCAGACAGGTTTCTGGTATGCAGGACCGTGTTACCAGCCTAATAGCAGGCATCTTCACTTAGATCTTGATATGGTAGCTAAGGGCATTTATTCTAGAGCCAGGCTTTCATAGAGCCTTGAACAACTTACATCTCTGAATAATCACCCATAAAATAAAGATATAATAATACTTACCTTAAGACATAAGTTTGTTGTCAGTATTCAATTAAACAATATAGGGACTTTCCTTGTGGTCCAGTGGTTAAGACTCTGTTTCCACTGCAGGGGGCATGGGTTCAATCCCCGGTCAGAAACTAAGATCCCACATGCTGTGTTTCATGGCAAAAAAAAAATTAAAATAAAAACAAAATAACAAAAATCAATACATGTAAAGTATGTAGAAGAATGGAAAATATAAAGAGCACATGTTAACCATTATGTTAATCTCAAACTCAATCTGTTAAAATTAAATGAGTCATCTTCCTTCAGCCTCAGATCTGCTGCATACCTTGTAGTCTCCTACAAGGCATGGGGCGTTTCAATAAAATGCCCAATTAAGGATAAACCTAGGAGTCACCTGCAAGACATTCATTTGCACAAACAATAAAAAAAGTTCTGCTATTTATTTAAAACTTTTAAATATGTTTTGATTCTGTATCTTTTTCTCTGTCCTTCCTAACACAGTTCTACTTCTTGTTCTAAACATTAACCTCTCTTTTCTCTCTCAGGTGCACATTTTTCTTATATATTTGATAGGCTAAATAATAGTCCTCCCCCCTCCCAAAATATCCATGTTCTAATTCCTGGAATGTGTAAACTTTATATGGAAAAAGGGACTTGCAGAGGTGGTTAAATTAAGAATATTGGGATAATATCCTGAATTATCCAAGAAAGCTCTAAATGCAGTCACCTAAGAGAAAAGGCAGATGGAATTTTTACTACAGAAAGGGAGAAAGCAATGTAACCACAGAAGCAGAAACTGGAATAATGAGGTCACAAGTCAAAGAGTGTCAGTGGAAGCCAGAAAAGGTAAGGAATGGATTCTCCCCTGGAGCTGGTTCCTGAAAAAGCTATATGCCCTACCATACCTTGATTTTAGTCCCGTTAAGACAGACTCAATATAGAATTCTGGACCCAGAACTATGAAACAAAAAATTTTTTTGCTGTTTTAAGCCACTAATTTTAGAGTAATTTTTTAATAGCAACAATGGGAAATTAATACAATCTCCTTCATCAAAAATTTCTCCCTCCCTATAGGATCATTCCTACCAAGTGCTTTGCTAAATCCGACACCTAAAATAAATTTTCTTAACCACATGACCCATTCCTGTAATAGCCCCTTTACTCTGCTTATACTGAGAGCAAAAAATATTGAAAGACTTAGCTGATCACCTCATCTCTAATATTCTCTTTAAGCACTTCCATTAAGCTTTTTCCCCCACCAATAGAAATGGCTTTTATCAAGGTCATAAATAAATTTCTTATTAAAGGACACAATGACTAATTCACTATCTTTATCCTCCTGATGCCTCAGAAGCACTTAATAAGGTTGACCACATCTTTCTTTTAGAAATACTTCCTTCTCCAGGATTCAGTGAGTTCATATACGCCTCATTCCCCACCTCCTCTGCTTCCTTTTAGTCTCCTCTTACCTCTCATCTAAGTGCTGGAATGCTGCTCACCTTCAGGGCCCTTCTTTCTTCTCTATCTATACTTTTTTCCTAACCAAGCTTACCAGTCCCATGCCTTTAAATACTAAATATGGGCAACTCTTTGGTCTGTATCTCCAAATTGGACCCACTCCTTTAAAGGTATGCCCACTTTAGTCTATTTACCACCTCCACCAGTCTATCTAATTGATTCTGTAAATAAAATATGATGTCCAATCTGTTTATATAATAAACTGACCATCTCAGGGCATGACACAAGAATCAGTCTATTATACTCAGGTCAGAATCTTAGAAATCATCTGTGTTGGTTTTTAATCTCTGCACAACAAATTAGCAAAAAATTAGTAGCTTAAAACAACACCAATTTATTATTTTACAGTTTCCATGGGTTAGGGGTCCATGTAAGAGTTAGATAAGTCTTTTGGACAAGATTGGAAAAGGCAGCAATTAAAGTGTTTTCCATGCTCCTTATCTCATCTGGAGCTCAGGGTCTTCTTCAAACTTCATTTAGGTTATTAGCAAAATTGAGCTTCCTTCAGATTATGACTTAAGTTCTCATTTTCTTGCTGGCTATCAGCCCAGAATCACTCTCAGACCCTAGGAATATTACCCAAACAGGCACTTCAACAGACGCTCTCTTCCAGATCAGCAGGAGCATACCTACTGCTGCTTCTTGCCTCTTTCAAGCGCTTACCTGATTAAGTCAAAGCCGTTCAGAATGACCCTCCCCGCTTTTGCACATGCGCTGTGCTGCACTTAGTTGCCCAGTCGTATCCAACTCTGCGATTCCATGGACTGCAGCCTGGCAGGCTTCTCTGTCCATGGGGATTCTCCAGGCAAGAATACTGGAGTGGACTGCCATGCCCTCCTCCAGGGGATCTTCCCAACCCAGGGATCGAACCCAGGTCTCCCACTTTGCCAGTGGATTCTTTACCATCTGAGCCACATAAGGTAATATAATTTCAGAAATCATATCCCATCATATTTATAGAATCTGCCCAAACTAAGGGGAAAGGGACTATACCGGGCATGAACACAAGAGAGGGTGGGGTGGACTCTATCTTAGCATCTTAGAAAACTGCCTACTACATTATCCTTGAATTTTCATGTTTCTTCAAACCCATAATGAATTCATCAGTAATTCCAGATGGCTATGTCTACAAAATAAACTCTATATGTGGCTATTGCTCATTATCTTACTTGCTAAAAAAGTTAGTCAAGCTACTATCTTTTTTAGATTGTTTTAAGTCTCTTTATTTTAACCACTGCCTCCTTGTGGTAACGATTCTCTATCCTCATCCAGAAGACAGAATGATCTTCCTAAAGCTCAACCATATTACGTCATTCTCATGTTTAAAATGCTCCAATTGCTTCCCACAACACATAGAAGAAACCCAAAATCTTTATCATGACCTATAAGGTAGAACATGAATCACAACTTTCTATCATCTACTACTGTTTCCTGTTTTTCAATTTTGCACCAACAACAGTGGCCTTTATTGTGTCCCTCAAAACATCCAACTGGTTTCTGTTTCAAGCCTTTGCATTTGCTATTTATTTCCTATTCCTGGAAGGTTCTCCAAGTTCTTCACATTCCTCTTATCTTCTTTCAGGTTTAAACTTAACTATTGTACCTCCTGGCTTCTCTGGTGACTCAGCAGTAAAGAATCTGCCTAAAAATGCAGGAGATGCAGGTTTGATCCCTGGGTTGGGAAGATCCCCTAGGGAAGGAAATGGCAACGCACTCCAGTATTCTTGCCTGGGAAATTCCACGGACAAAGGAGCCTGGTGGGCTACAGTCCATGGGGTCACAAAAGAGTCAGACACAATTTAGGGACGAAACAACAACAACATTGCATCTTCAGAGTAGTCTTTCCTAAGCATCCCCTATCCCCTGGCCCCTAGTAATGTTTCACCACACCATATTCAATCATCTTTATAGCAGAAAAATCACATGAAGATTTTTATGTTCTTGATATTGTCTTTCTCATGCATATCCCAATATCCTACCTTGCCCTGGAAGGAAATTTCTTTGTGGAAAGGTATTCTGTCTTGCTCATAACTGAATATCCAGCACATGGATCATTGTATGGTGTATGGTGAGTGTTACACAGTTATTTGATGTACTTTTTGGCACTGAAAGTAAGAAAGAAATAAGTAAATTTATAGGGGACATTTTTCAGAAATGTGGGGCAAAAGAAGCAAAAGTTAGGGGGGTTTTGACAATTATAACTATTTTAAAAATCATTCTGATGTGTCTTGAAGTGTACACAATGAGGAGTAACACATTATCCATTGGAAATACTGGAAGAATCATGGTTTTGGGATTTGAAAGACTTGTGTTTGACTTTTCATTCTTCCCTTAAAAAAAGACATGTAAACTTGGAAATCTTACTCTGTCCCATTCTTGGCTTTCTTACCTATAAAATGAGATAATATCTAATTTTCTATTTAAAATAAATGCAATACAGGCTTCCCTGGTGGTGCAGTGGCTAAGACTCCATGCTCCCAATGCAGGGGGCAAGGTTCAATCCATGGTCAGGGAACTAGATTCCACATGCCACAACTAAGACCCAGCACATTCAAATAAATAAATAAATAATAAATATTTTTTAAAATAAATAAATGCAATAACTTGTGCAAAGGATCCGCTAAAGTTTTCAGAATGTAAATGATGCTCAATACATAACAGTTTAATTAATAGTGTTTAATTAATAGCCTGTTTAATTTTAGTGTTCTCTATTTAATAGAGGAAAATAATTGAAGTACATAGATAGCTATAGTAACAAGGCAAAACAGAAGGATAATAAGGATTGTGAAAGTTGAGAGCTAGGTAGTGTCTCAGAGAGGGAGGTTTCCTCCTCTATTCCTCTTAAGTTCTTGTGAATGGAATAATAATAAAATTGACACAAAACAGATTAAAAGGAGAAAAAGAAACAAGTTCATTTGTGTATATGAAGGTCTCGTGGAAATGGGATCGAAGAAGTGGCCAAGGCAGGTAGCTTTCACACTTTTTAAACAGAAAGTTTAAATTTGTGAGAAATTGACAAGAAAAAGAAAATTAAGTTTTGGGTGTACAGTTAGCAAAGAACATAAACAGATTTGGGGCAGTAAATTAAAAAAGTAACATGGTTTGTTTACACAAACTTTTCAGTCCAAATTCCCCATCTCTGGCAATATCTTGAGATGCAGGGAATGTACCTTTCACATGAGAGATTTATTTCCTGCTTTCAGGGGGATGGGGAAAGGAGGGTCAGAGTGTCTCACTTGCACTGGTAGTTTCTTAAGTAACTTTAATTCAAAACAATCCATATGCCATTGTTAAATATTTTGGGGTGGTCTGCTCTGAGCTCCAACAGTAGCATCACACCTTCTGAGGAAAATCAAAAGAGTTATTTCTTTGGGACCCCAGGGGTTGTAGCCCACCAGGCTCCTCTGTTCATGGGATTTTCCTGGCAGGAATACCGAAGGGTGTTGCCATGCGCTCCTCCAGGGCATCTTCCTGACACCAGGGATCAAATCCAGGTCTCCTGTGTCTCCTGCACTGAAGGCTGATTCTTTACCGCTGAGCCACGAGGGAAGCCTGGAATGCAGGTTAAGTAGCCCCAAGCTCTGAGAAACATCCCTTATGTAAGGACTATGTATCATAGGCACACAGTTTGGGGCCCAAGCATTTTGTCTTTGTTTTTAAGCATGGCAGTCTCTGATCTCCACTTCTTTCACTCACTTCTCTCAAACCATCTGCCTCATATGTGTTTTTCCATCATTCGTGTGATCATCCATAATTATCTCTCCATTTCAGGTCATCATTTCCCAGACGCACAGAATGGAAAGCACACTGAAGGCGTGCCTTCTTCATATCCTTGAGGACCTTTTAGAGGAGGAGTTGGTTAAATTCAAATTTCAACTCACAAACATAACTCTAGATGAGGGATACAATCATATACCTCGGGGCACTATCCAGCAAGCAAACCCAGTGAAACTTGCTGAACTACTGATCCAGTATTATGGGGAAGAATACTCCAAGACTGTGACTCAGGAGGTCCTGAAAGCCATAAACCAGCGCAACCTAGCAGAGAAGCTCTGCCAGGCAATGGAAAAATGTGAGTCTAGACCAAACCTACTCACATCTGCAGACATGGCTCAAGACTTTTCCTGAAATCTCTGCATCTTAATTAATTCAACACACACATTGAGAGCATAAAATATAAAAAGAGTTGTGTGTCATGGTACTTTTAAAAATTATTTTTGAGATAAAGTTCACATCTTTCCAACATCTTAGCCATACCTGAGTTTGATTCTGACACCTATTCTGTCTCTTCAAACTGTGGGGGTTTTGGTTTGTTTGTTTTTTAGCATGCCTTGTAACTTTTTGTTGAAACTCAAAAGAAACTGAGGTAGATAGGTCTTTAGAGTAAAGTTCTTTATTTATCTGGCTAGGAGTTAGGCTGTGCTATTTACTCTGGTATCAAAGACTAAAACTTCCTCTAATGTCCTTGTTTTTTATTCTCATTGTATTTGAGTTTTCATGGAAACTTCTTAAATTGTCTGAGATATCCAGTCTTCTCAAGTATATTCCCCTATTATTATAGGAATATTATTATTATTCAGGAAATTTACTAATGCTGGTAAGGTAGGGAGGAAGAAGATGTATTCTATAGTCCAATGATTAGCTCTCAGTCTTTTAGTGAGCCCATGCCACTTGGCTATGATCATCATAGTCTTAATTCCTACCCATTATTCAAGCTCCAGCTGAAATGCTACCTCTGTAACCATTCCTGTTTCTACCTCAACTGAAAGTACTAGCCTTTTCACCTAAATTCACTGTGTGTTTTCTCCTCAGTTCTTATTGATCATATTGTTGTTTCCTTTTTTTAACTATAGTGATAATTTGTGCTCAATAAACACTGAGAAGAATTTGAAGAATGAAAAAACATCAGTAATATCCTCACCCAGAGACTAACGTAACAAACAATGTGTCATATGCTATCTTCACTGAGATTAATTTTTTTCACCTAGATTATATTCTATACACAGTTCTATAACATTAGAAATTTTGGGGTCTTAAAACATATAACAAGCTTTTCCCAAAGCAATAAACATCAACTCTTAAGTACTATTTTAAACTATTTTATTACCCCATCCTATTGGTGCTCTGTAAATAATTTTGCCAAAATGCCATTTAAGATATTGTTTCCAAAATATGAACATTATGAATAATGTTGCAAAATCATCTTAGTGATAGATTTTGGTGCTCATTTTATTTCAGTCCCTTAAATTCCTAAAATTGAAATACATGAGTCAAAGAGTATGAATATAAATATGCATTTATATTCATACAATTATTTCCAAATAATTTTCTAGAACTACTATATTGACTTGGTCATTTAGAGTGTATAAGCATACCCCTCTTACTGAATTCTCAACAGCATTAAGTAATTTTTAAATTTTAATTTGTAAGGGAGAGTGTTAAAATATTTAAAATATTAAAAATATACTTTAAAAATATTTAAATATATATTAAATAAAATTTCAATTTATTGAAATAAATTTTCAACTTATTTAATAAAATAATTCATGAATACAGTAAAAATTAAAGCATACAGAACATCACCTGGACCCTTCTCTCACAAAATAACCTCTTGGAATTCAATGTTTCTTTTGGTGGCTACTGACATGTCTCTGAATATCATGCTTTTACCACTCTTCCATAAGTTTATCAATATTAGGTCTACTAGTTCAATCGTTTTATCATTATCAACATCACTATCAATATTATTCATTGTTATCCTACCATTAGGAGGTAAACTTTTTGCTCAGTTATGCCACCTCTTGCTTCCCCACCTACTCTCTCCCCAATAGCACTATTTTTTAGTTTATATACAGGCTACATTTAAATTTTACTTTCTAAACTTTTCATTTTGTTCCATTATGAGAGGCACTACCTTGAAATTCCTTAAAATACTTTTAAATGGTCAAAGCTGAAAATTTTTTATTTCTTGTTTGAATCATAATAAAAAAATCTTGCATTTTTTATTTATAGCTTGTTTCCAAAAGTTGAATGTCAACAATTTATACTATTATACATATGTAAATTTTATTCATAACAGAATCAAATGGAGTTCAGTTTTTGTTGTTTTGTTTTTTGCTTCATGGAAACTTCTCTTAGTCATATTTTTTTGCATGTGCATCTTGATCACATCCTTATATTCTTCCAACATCTCCAATATCCTACCAAGTGAAGGAAGTCCTCTATTCTTCCATTTATTTCTTAGATAATTTCCCCTGGAGCTTACCTAATAAAGGGTATGTGGACAGAAAACTTTCTAGGTTGTTAGTTTTTCGAAAATAACTTTATTCTCAAACTTGAAGAGTAACTGGGATGGAGTTAAGGTTGTAAGTTAAAAATCCTTTCACGTCATTGTTTGGAAAGGATGATTTAATTGTCTTTGTTACTTACTGATGGTGAGTCTGATGCCAACCTGATTATCATTCTTTTGTCAGTGGTCTGTTCAGCACCCCATCCCTGTCCCAGATGATTTTAAGGTTGGTGTTCTAAAATTTATCATGAAGTAGAAATTTCTTACCCCCTTTCTTGTGCTAGAAACTGTACAGGCCTTTTAGATATGAATACCAGTGTCCTTTAGTTCCACAATGGTGAAGGTGAAGTTTCACAGTCTTGGCTACAGGCTGATTTCCTACTTAGCTATAAGTAGGTCATTAGCTAGATATTAACCTTATTCTCAACCAAACCTTAATTTGAATCAGCCTGAATCTCATTTTTTTCCAAGGACTGATTATCACATGGACCATCATTAGAGGTGAGCTAGGAGATTCAGGAATAATCAGTGAGAAGCCTAGAAATTTGAGGTGCTAATAAATCGGATGCTCAATATTTTGGCAATAATATAGGAGAAACATTTGCTCAAAAGCATCATTTTTAACAAAAAAGAAAAAAATGATATCCTTAGGGAAGTCTCTTTAACAACTTTACTTCGATTTCCTTTCTCAGTAAACTTAAAAGTATGGGAGGAAGAGATATAATTATTAAAAGCCATCACAAGACTCTCCAACACTCAGCATACCCCCAAATCAATGTGCTATGGCTGAGATTTCCATATAAATAACACTCTATTTGTCAGCAATAGCCTAGTTACTTTGACTCATCCTCCTTCTTTGACCACTATTTTTTCTGTGTCATTTTAATACCCAAGTCTTCTCAGTCTATGAGATGGTTATTCTTATTTCCTAATCATTCCCATCACATAAAATACCTATATCTTTTCTTGGGTCATTCCTGAGAAACAGATGCTAATGTTGAACTTATTGATTTTAAGCTGCTGGCACCAAGCTAGTGAATGTAAGTGGGGAAGGCGCTAAGTTTCAGCAACACTGCAATTCTGACTCCATGTTTTACTAATGGTGAGAATAATGAACACTATTTTCCCTCCAAAGCTGGATCTTCCACTGAAAAAGTTGAAAAAAAGACAAACAAGAGGAAGCAGGAGGATAAAGCAGGACTGAATGAAGAAAAATGGCAGCTAACGATGTCAAAGGTTGGTAATTTGCCCTGGGGAAGAGATTTTTGCCCTGAAATTGAGTGGAGTGTCTGGACCAAAGGCTGCTCAGAATCTCAGTTTGCTGGTTTCCAGATCCTACAGCATGGCATGGTTGTTTCATGTCAGCACCAAATGTCTCCAAGGTGTTTTGGAGAAAAGAAAGATCCTGAAGAAATCTGGCTGTGACTCCTGTCTCTGTTGCTCATTCTCAAGCACATTGCTTAATTTTTATGAGTTACTCTTCTCCAAAATGGGAATAATAATAATAGGGGCATTATGAAAATTGATGGTCACTAAATAAAAACCAATTTATTTTCTTTTCAGTTTCTCTCACTGAACTCATTTTCTGCTTCTGTCCATATATACTAGATTACTTTCTATTTCCTAAGCATATCCAACTTTTACAGTATTTGCTTTGGTTTTTCTGTTCTCTTTTTCTAGAATGCCCCCACTCACTTACTCCTTTGTGTGGTAAAATCACATTCAATCAGTAATATATTAATAGCTTGCAAAACAGTCAACACAATACCTACATTGTGGTAGGTTCCCTTCTATTTATTTTTAAATTTTATTTTCCACCTACAGTCTTTTCATAATTATATGTTACATCAGTTTGGTAAAGCCTTTCCTCATTTTGCATCTCAAAAAAATTTAATCACTTCTTCAAACGTGTTGCCAGTGCACTTTGAGCTTTATACAATTTACGGCCTCAGACTTGTATTGTGGAGCCATACAATTAACTACTTACTTATTCATCTCTCTCAAACTTTACTGGTAAGTTTTAAGCCCTCCAAGGCATGACCCTGTTTTATACTTCATTCCTTGATCATCCTATTGCCTCACACATAAATTGACTCAATTTATTTTTGGAAAGAATATATGCATGTATTCATAAATGATAAACAATGTAACCCCTTTGATATAGAAAAATAACAGTCATTATCATTGTCTTTTTTTCTTTCTAGAGATTTAAAAATATCTTTCAAACTAAGTCAAAGAAAACACCCAGTGAAACTGCTTCTTCTCACAGAGACACTCAACTAGTCAATAATAAGGAAGAAACAGTCCAAAATCAACACTTTCCTGACTTGATCAAGTGGCTTAATCTGGAAAGTTATTATCCCAAAAAGATGACCAAAGTAAATTCTCTTTTGATAAATAAGGCCTTCCTCCATGGCACTCAACCAAGGACTGAGGAGGAGCTGCCATTTTGTTTTCTAGAGAAACTTTTGGTATTAGATTGTCATTTGCGATATCAAGTTTACAGAGGTATTATAGATAGAACCCCTACTGTGTCCCAGACACTGAGAACCACAGAACTAGAAAAATCATTTGAGGACTTTTTTATTGTCAAGGAAACACAATCAACTACAGTACCAACTTGCATCCACCCAATGGACATACAGATGGCAATTTTTCACTGTGCAGATGACTTTTCAAGACAGTATATTCTGACCAAGCTTTCCATTTGTCAATTTGCTCTCCCACTTTTGGTGCCAAATCCTTGCAATTTCCAAATTGAATTCCCTCTTTGGTCTCTGAGGCAAATCAGGAGAAGCTGGAGAGAGGTGGAAAAAATAGGATGGGAGAAAAAAATTAGGAGTTATAACAACCAGCTGATCAGTTGGCAACCTATACACACTGTATCTTTCATAAGAATTGGAAATTATGCCTCTACTTCCAAATCACAGATTTTGAATTCACTCCTGAGTAAAAGCAAACATGACCATTTTTTTCCTCCATCATTCTAGGGAAGACAATAATAGATGTCTATTGGTAGATGGTATGGTGGAAATCTGCTGGTTCTGTCCAGGTGGGAGAGCTAAGGACAGATTTGAAAATTGGATTGCCTTCACCAATCTCCATGGAAATGCTGAAATACATGAGAGGCAGGTAAGGTTCCTGCAGGAAGTCTCCTCGGTCACTGTTATCCTCCTGGCAACTTCTGATTTTGACATAATGAATAGCTCCCTTCTACTTGAATTTTGGAATTCACCCAAACCTCTCATCTGTTTGTTTGAAAATGCAGAAAATATTATGGATAAGAATTATGTTCACAAAGTGAGAATTGGAATTAAGAATCTAAATAAGATAGAATTAGCTGATAAAATTACAGTTACATTAGCACAGCTGCTGAAGAAATCTGGATCTCCTTATAGTCTGAGTAACTGGGCCAACATGGCAAGAAAGTATGAGTTTATTATTGATGAGGACCAAAGAGATTGCCAAGAAGCAGGGAAAAAAGCAGACATCCTTATGGACATCTTGAGAAAAGTAAAATTATCTGAGATAAAGGGGAAGTTCCTGCCTCTTCAAGGAGGTCTATGGCATGACTGGTGTAAGAAGGATAAAGAACTTCATCAGCTGCAAAAAAAAGGAAACAAGAGCATTGAACAATATAAGAACGAAATTGAGAAGGAAAAGCTGAAGATACGCTGTGAACAGTATCACAAAGTCATTAACCTTAACGACCTGATTAAGTCCCTGCTGGAAAGCCTTCAGTCCCACCTGGAGACCCACACAGAGCTCTACTTTCTGCAGGTGCTGAGTATGTCAATGGACCAACTGACCACAACAGAGTTACAGAAGCTCCACCAGAGGCACAGTTCTTTGTTGGCTCAAGTACGAACAGAAAAGCAGAAGCAGTCAAAGAGAGATTCCCACAGATGCTGGGAGGCTGAGCTAGAAGCTGTTTCCAAAGAAATCAGTGATTCCACCCTGGGAATTGAGCACCTCTTGAGAGAGCTGGGTCAGATCTATGAAGCTTTGGAAGAAGCTTCCTCCCAAACAAATACACTGTTTCTTTCTCTTCCCCAAATGGCTGCTGACCTGATGATATCCGGTGCTCCCATTGAACTGATGGATGGGGATGCTTCATATGTGCCCCTGAGATGGGTGGCAGCTGTTTTTGACAAGGTCTCTGAAAAACTTGGAGACAAACGTGTGTTTGTTCTCTCTGTCCTTGGCTTGCAGAACTCAGGAAAGTCTACTTTGCTGAATGCAATGTTTGGGCTGCAGTTGAACCTTAGTGGTAGAAGACATACTCGGGGTGCCTACATGCAGCTTCTGAAAGTGGACGAGATGCTCAGAGAACAGCTGGGCTTTGATTTTATGCTTGTTGTGGACACAGAAGGACTGCAAGTCTCAGAGCTCAGGAGCAAAACACAAAATGAGGAAAATGAGTTGGCAACCTTTGTCATTGGACTTGGAAACTTAACTCTAATCAATATTTTGGGAAAGGATCTTTCAGAAATACAAGATATTCTGCAAATAGCTGTCCATGCCTTTCTCAGGATGAAACAACTGACTATCTCACCAAGATGCCTATTTGTTCATCAGAACATAGAAGAAATTATAGATACAGATCAAAGTATGGCAAGGCAGAGGTGGCTACAAGAAACATTGGATGAAATGACAATCACGGCAGCCAAACATGAACAGTGCTCCGAGGTGCGTCACTTCAGCGATGTCATTAAGTTTGATGTCAAGAACCACATCTATTACTTTGCTCACCTCTGGGAAGGGTCTCCCCCAATGGCCCCTCCTAATCCCTGCTATAGCCACAATGTTCAGGAGCTGAAAAGTAGGATTCTTAAGCATGCCAAAGAAGAATCCAGAGGAAGTATTTTGAAGATATCAGAACTTAAAGTCAGGGTACGGGATTTATGGAAGGCCTTAGTGAAAGAGAACTTCATTTTCAGGTTCAAGAACACTCGGGAGGTCATGGCTATGAATAAACTGGAGACTATGTACAGGAGCTGGACCTGGGAGCTGAGAAGTCATATGCTGGACTTGCAGAATCAGCTGATGAGCCAGATTCAGAAAGGAGAAGTTAAGGAGATCAAGAGAAGCTCTATTGAGAATCAAGTTGTGGAAAAATATGAAGCCATTAAGCAAGAACTTGAAAGATATTTTCGAGAAGATAGAGATAGGGATATCTTGTCTCAGAGGAAAGGAATATTTAAAGATGATTTGAAGAATCTTAAAGAGGATCTTATAGTAGGAACTATGAGAAAATGTGAGGATCTAATTAATGGAAAGAAAATACAAGACCTTTTCAAGGAGCAAAGAGTAAAACTGGAACATAAGTTATTAGAAAAAATCAGAGGGATAGCTAAGTCCCCCTGTAGGAAAGAATTACATGATAAGGAACTGAGAGAGATGTTCAACAAGATCTGGTCAGAGAACATCTCCATTCTGTTGCCTCCCACACTTGCATCTGCTGAGGGGCCTGATATTGATATTGAGTTAGAGAATGTTCTCCTGGAGCATTTTAAACAGCACCCCAATATTGTGAACAAAATTCAGTATCGCAGTACAAAGAAAACATTTTCTATCAATTATTCTAAACATGTTATCACCCCTCAAGAGTTCCCAGTATATGGACCCTCTGAGGAAGAGTTTGAAAAAGATATCATAAAGAAGACAACAGCTCAAATTGTGAAACTGGTTCAAGACATCATACACAACAGAGAACAACAGAATGAGGGTTACAGTTCTAGTTACTTCCATGAAATTCTGCAAGTGATCCATACTGAAGCTGAGGCTGCATCTCAAGGAGTCAGATTTATGTTGACAAACAGATTTAAACTAGAACTTGCTCTAGAGCTACTGAAAGAGGCAGCAAACAATTTTAAAAAGATGTGCATTGCATTCAAGACAGCCAACAACCCTGTTCTATATTTAGAAAGTAAAAGAGAAGAATTTTTTACTAATTTTAAGTTGGCCTACAAAAACTTCCAAAGCACTGACTGATGTCCTTTGGGTAAAGAATTTCTGCTACTTTATGAACTGGGATAAACACCTGAGGAGCTTATCTATTCTTCACCTAGCTTTTTTACTCCAATACAAAATGAAAAAAAAAAAAAAANAAAGACAGAGAGAAGACAAATATAGCAAAGCCACAGAACAGTAGTTTAGGAGAAAAAAATCTTGCATGTATACAAATTTGCATATACAGAGGTTGTATTACAAATCAGAAGAGGAACATGATTATTAAATATATTAGGATGGAAAAAAATCAACAATGTGGAAAAAATAACTTAGGTGTCTACTCATATTAATGAATTTAATGACTTCTTATGACAAAGGAATTCCCTTCCTATGCATACATCTTTTAGAAATATAGAAATATTTCAAATATTCAAATAGAAATATGCAAAATCATTGCACAATCACTGAAATAGCAAAAAGAGAATTAGAATCTATCTAATCAACTCCAAATGGGATGGAACACTGGATAAATATGGTATGATATGTTCATATAATGAAATTTAGACACTGTGTTTTCATACAGAGAAAATGCATAAATTAGATCTGTGTATATAAACACAGAAAAATCTCAATAATGTAATGTTCCAAAGGCAAGCTGCAGAAGTATGGATATAGTGTGTAGATTTTAAAACATAAAAGTAATGCAACTAAGTATGTAGGAAAATTATATAAACTTGGACAGAAAAGACACATACAAAATTCATAACAAAGGGTATGAAGGAAAGATGAAAGGAAAGGAATGCTGATGTTATACAAAAGGATTATTATAGTACCTGTAATGTTTAGTTCTATAAAAATCCATAAAGGAAACAGCAAATTGTTAAATTTCTTAAATATATGTAGTTCACATTTTATTATAGTATTTTAAAAAATATGTGAAATATTTCACCATTTCTAAATTATCTTACAATATAAGAAATGGTATGGATTCTGGGTAGTCCATCCCACCCCACCACCCATCGCTGTATCTCTAGCACAAAGAATAATTTAACACATATTATTGATACTGAAAAATATTTGCTGAATGGATTCATAAATGGGAGATTATATAGGCTGCCAGAGTAGATAAAGGAGCAACTAACCAACTAACTCTGCTTGGGGCAAATCTTCAAGACTACATTCTGTGAGGCTTTTCTTAGTCACCATCCAAATGTCCTTCTTCCCTTCCTCCTCCCCCATACCTTTCTTCCTCTCCTCTTCCTCCTCCCCCCTCCCTCATCTTTTCCTCCTCCTCCTTTTTTTCTCCCATCCTCCCTCTCTGTCTCACTCTCCCTCCTTCCATCTCCTCATCTCTGATCTTCCTTACACCTTCAATTTTCCTGTCTTAACTGCTATGTTCTACAGGGTTCTGTGTCAGCATCTCATTTCACTTTGAGACTTTAAACTCCTAGAGCATGGAATCTAACTATTTTATTTGGTCCTGGTTCTTAGAACACCACTGGGCATATGGTGAAAAAAGGTGAAGAAATAAGAGTGCGAAATAATGGGTTGAATCCATGCCAGGCTTTAACATCTCTGGCAGTTCTACTCTGTTGTCTCCAGAGGAGACCATTTCGTCAAACCTCTACCACCTGTTCCAGTCCCAGGTAAGAGCACTGGAAATAACATAGCTCAAAAGGCATGTCATGTCATCACTCAGTTAAGGTTTCCAGAGAGAAGCTGAAGTCATGGAATGACTGACAGAGACAGATTAACAAAGAAGTAATTATCATTTAGGGTAATCAGAGCCCTATTGGGGAGAAGTTCAGAGGCCTATAGGCACACAAATTAGGATCAGCTAATTGA